GGCCATTTTCTTTCGCCACAGAGTCATTTTCGATTTAGATCGCACCCAAACGCCCTCCTTCACTACAATTGAGGCTCTGAATGCCCTCACCGTTTTATCCTGCTTCTCGTGATCGTGTGGCCTCCATTGGCCCGGCCAAGCACCTCTCGCTGGTCGAACAGCGATGCGTCTATGATACGCTCCTGACACTCATGTCTGGAGGCCGCTTGCCGTATGGTGAGCTATATCCGTGACCGCCAAACAGTATAGTTGTCATCGGACAACTGTTTCCAAACTATGGGCCCGAACGCGTCGCTCTCTCCTCCATGGCGCTCAAGTTGCCGATGTCGACTCAAAGACACGAGGTACGACGTCAAAACCTCTATATATTTATACAAAAATCGGATTTCCAGGGGTACTCATTTCTAGGGAATTCTGGGCGACCGCTCCGCCGTTCTCCGGAAGCGATCGAAGCTGCAATCAAAGCCGTTCTGTAGGAAGACCGACAGACTCTCCGATCACTCGCAGCGCAAAGCGGCATCCCCAAGACCGTCGTTATTCGTCATATGCAAGAGATGCTCAAGGGGCGATCAAGCTACGTCAATCCTGCGTTGACAGACTGCAACAAGATCGAACGCATCAATTTCGCGCTGAGACTTCTCCAACCCGGGTCAAATGGAACCCACTTTTTTGACAATATGTACAGCAGAGTACATATCGACGAAAAGTGGTTTTTTGACCAAGGAAAAGAGAACCTTCTAATTTTATGACAATGCAGAGCTTGCTCATCGGGCAGCCAAGTTGAAACGCTTCATCACAAAAGTGATGTTCCTGGCCGCCGTTGCGCGCCCGCGCTACGATCACCACCTCAAGCGCATGTTCGACGGCAAGCTTGGTATTTGGCCCTTTGTCAAACGAATTCCCGCCACAAGGAACAGCAAGAACCGTCCGAAGGGCACGTTGGTGACGACCCCACTGAACGTCGACGCCAAGGTGTATACGGCCAGGTTCTCAACAATGTCGTCCCCGCAATCGCGGCCAAGTTTCCTCGTGCCTGTTTGCAACGTGGTGTTCTCATCCAACAAGACAACGCAAGCCCGCACAGAGTTGTGTCGACGGGTGTTGGTGGCGAATGGGGTGCAATCAATAGGCATCGCGGACCAACTACCAAACAGCCCCGACTTTAACGTTCTAGTCTAAGGATATTTCAACGCTATTCAAAGTCTACAGTATCAAAAGAGAACTCGTACGATCGACGATCTCATTGATGCTGTAGAACAATCGTTTGTTGAGTTGCCAGTCATTACTCTGGCTAAGACTTTTATCACCTTGCCGAGGGTGATGGAATGTGCCCTGCTTGATAGCGGGGGAAATAACTTCAAGATACCGCATATGAAGAAGGGCAATACCATTGACGACGTCACGTCCTTTCAAGTCCAATGCTGTTCCACTGCCATTGTCGCCGCCAAAACTCATTTGAATTCCCAAGATTGAGTAGTTTCTATTTTAATTAATAGAGTGATTATATTTTGCCGACCCAATATGCGATTTCACAATACAATCTTGAATATACTTTGAGTCGAACGAGTATACTTTAACCAAGTCAAAACACTGTAGCGATTATTATGGACTAGAGTAGTACATCAATACAAAATCCATTTGGAAAGCACATCCCAGATGGGGTCGGCGAGGCCGCCCATCCTCCTCAAAATAACTGGAACTTGGCCCGCTCAACATGCCCGACGACTTCCAGGCTGAACCGCTCTTTGCCACCAATGTGAAAGTTGTTCGCCGTCGTCAGCTGAGTCGGATCCCTAAGTTTGGCCCCCCCCGACCTCTGCCGCTACCGCAAATGGATGATCAACCGCTCCCAAGGACACCCACCCCGCTCGAAATAGCTGGAACTTGGCCCGCTTGCCTTGCCCGACGATTTTCAGGCTGGATCACTTCTCGCCGCCTCAGCAATCGTCGGCACACCGCTCTCCAGCCTTCCTTGCGCCATCCAGGCCATTCTTTTCCGAAATGCGCCAAACCTCTCAAGTGACGAAGACTTCCAATCCCCTCCGCCCCGTCTTTTCCCAAGACACACGCCTCCAACTGCACTCATTGGTTGACTACCTTCTCCCCTACCCCCCAGTTTCTGATAGGCGCGCGATTTACTGTAAACTCTCCAACTGTATACCCGGGTCTATTGTAATAATAGACCCCCCAAGGGGGTCCACGATTAGATCCTCTATATCTTTATATATCGGGTATATATTTAATACAAGGTTATATTCGAAAATGGAGTGCCATCCAAATGAAGAAGAAGGTGTCCGTAGCGACGAAGCTCAAGATCATCGAAGAGGACAAGCTTTCATCAATACGTTCCGTTGCAAGGAAGTACAAGTTGCAACCAAGCAACATTCGCCAATGGATGAAGCAAAAACACGATCTTGGTTGCTCAAAGCCGTCGCGATGATGATTGACTGGAGGTGGCAGACGAGTAACAAGTGAAGAGCTCGACGAAATCCTCTTCGAGAAGATTATATTCGAACGATCGTTACGAGCCCATGTTACCAGGAAGCTCATAAAGTCCGCGGCAAAAGACATCGCTGAAGAATTGGACGAAACTATCTCCTTGACATATTTGGACGGGTTGCTTGAAAAATTCCTGGATCGCTACGACCTCACGTTGAGGCGTAGCACAAGAAAACCAGTGCTCGAATACCACGAAATCGTCTCACGCTGCGCAAATTTTGTTCAACATGTGCGCCAATTGATCGAAACCTCCAAGATTGTACCCGACAACATTTACAACCTTGACGAGACAGCCATCTTTTTCGATCACTCCCGTCAAACTACCGTCGATTTGGTAGGCTCGGGCGATGTACCGATTGTATCCATGGGCTTTGACAAAATGCGTGTCACAGCAAGCTGATGACTTCCGTTTACTAGGAATTCCTCGTCAATGAGAAAGAATTGCGGATTCGCGATGAAGGCTTGGTGTCTGTTTGCGGTGCCCCGAAGTCGTGGATGAACTCGTCCATATTCATCCGCTACCTCGAATACACGTTCAGCTTTGTCAATCCTGGCGAAATTCTTCTCGTGTTTGATGCTGCAAGATCTCATGTGAGCAAAGAAGTGAAGGTTTCTTCAGCGAAAGGGATTTTTGTATGCAGTCATACCTGGCGGCACTACGGCGTATTCACAACCGGCTGACGTCAGCTGGTTTTAGCCGTTGAAAGACAAAATGGCCGAAAATATTGACGAGTGGAAATCGAGTAGTGATTTTGACTACACAAGAGTTGGGCGGCCAAGACCACCATCAAATGATGTTGTTGCAAACTGGCTGATTCACTCATGGAAGGCGATTTCAAGTGACATTGTCATGAAGAGTTTTGTGAAGTGTTTCCTTGGTACAAATGACGAGCTGCTCCTCTCTAAACACCCGACGACGGGAGAGAATTTCCGCATTGAACTCGAAGGACTTATGTCGGATGATGCAGAAGAGTCCAAAGAGCCCGACATCGACGATTTGCTTGAAGAGTTTGATGATCTTGTCATGATCGACCAAGATTAAAACCAATATTTCACTTTGACTGTGATATATTATATACTTGTTTGGTTATATTTTATTAAGGTTATCAATTTACAGAGGTTAGTGTAAAAAGGGGGTCGTATAATGAAGAGAGTCTACAATTAGAGAGTTTACAGTATTTCGTCCCCATCCCGTACTTCGAGCTGACCGTCTGCTAGGCACGACTAGTAATACTAGCGACACTAGTTAATCAGATTCTGGCACATTGTGAATTCCCCATACGTATAATGCAAATTTCTCACCCAGATGGGGTCGGCGGAGCTTCGTCGATGCGTCCAAGAACGACAAACCCGATGCACGTACATGCGAGCAAGCCCAAGAAAGCGAAACTCGCTGAAGCCATTGGAGAGGCACGTGCCGTTGCCACAACTACGACCGCAAATGCTTCGACTCT